CTGAATCGATGAAGGCGACTGAAATGAAGCCGAAGTTTCAGCATGGACCTCGAACTTAGTATGAATGCTTGTGAAGCACAAGAGTCAAGGCAGGGCCAACTTCAACTTTCTTTTCACTCGGACCTCAATCCATTCGGGGGCTAATGACGATGCCATAGACCTAGTGTAGGTCCGTAGACCTGACCTATACGCCCTACCCAAGGTCACTACCTTAGAAGCAAGGACATTCAAAGCACAGTAGGAAGTATCATCTGAAGCCATCGAGTGCAATCCACTCGACCAGTCACCTCACTCGGATACCCCCAATTTCACTCGACCTGGATGAAGTCATTCGACCATACAGGAAACCACTCGGAGTATAGAAGACCTAGAGTCACTCAGGATGGCAACGGTCAGGCGTTCACTCCGTAATCTTAAAGATCATTGATAACACTTTATAGCTGGCGTTACCAGTAACACCCTATCTTAATGTACATTGAACTCCTGTAACGGAGGACGGCCGGGGTCCTGGCGCACTCTATATAAGCCACCCCCTCCTCTGGGACAAGGGTTCGCACCCCTTGTAACACACATCCATATTCCAGTCGACCGCCTCAGGGCACCGAGACGTAGGGCTTTTACCTCCTCCGAGAGGGGCCTGAACTCGTAAACTCGTGTGTACAACCTTGCCGTAGCTAGGGCCTTGCATCCTCTTACGTACCCCCTACTCTTACTGTCAGACTTAGTACCACGACAGTGAGCGCTAAGGACGAGAAGCGGCTATTCGGTAGAAGGGTGTTATTCCCAAAAGAGCTAACCTCTGACCATGGAGGAAGTTGAATCAGGGAATCAGGTGGAAAGGGAGAGGTGGGTGGCTTCCGCTCACGGACCCATCACCCTCCTGCCCTAGAGGAGGACCAACAGTGGTGATGGCGCTGCCATCACTGGGACTCAGATGTCATGACCTTACGAGTCTTGACATAAAATTTCCCCTGCTGTAACCAACTCAGGCAGTTTAGCCTACTTAATGCATAGAAGTTTTATATCTTACTTGTGAATTACATATGGGACCAAAGTTTCCCATTTGTATTTTATCTCTGTCCATTTCGCTTACAATTTAGTGCCACTGTCTCTTGAACCTTCCACTAGAATTAACCGAGATATAGCCTAGGTCGGATCAAAATAGTCTCTTGTTTAGGAATCGATGAAGGCACATAGCTTATATGTGTGCACACTCGCCGGCGGCAGACAACTCTTGCTGAACCAAGTCATAATAGAAGTACTTATGTTCGTTGGCCAAAAGTATCGACCATAAGGATTTTATGTTGCGTCCATCATCAACACACTCCTTTTTAGGTGACGTTCGCCAGAAGTCTACCTTGCTCGACTAACTGGCCCCGGTCGACACAAGAGGAGTAGTATTCGGGAATCCTTCTTGTGTTCGATTAGAGCTCCTCAATATTTTCCTAGTATATTACTCAAAGAATGGAGGATTTTTTAGAACACCCTTGATCTTGCCGGATAGGAACGATGCTCGACAATTAGTATTAACTTCATAGCAAACTGTGGCAACGCACGAGTATATTTGCTAGTAAAACAAAAATCTAATAACTAGTTGCAACAATGACAAACTGCGAGGTGATGAGTTTGCTCGAATGTGACCTTCCTTATGGATAGGGAAGATATGCTAGTGGACTCACCATGCTTTATGAAAAAATCATTTTAATTTTTTTGCTTTTTAAAAAATTGTTTGGGATTTCAACAAAAAATCTGAACTTCAAAAAGTGATCCATATTTTTATTTTTTCTTTCAAAATATCACAAAGTTTAAAATTGTTCTTACATTTTAAGAAATGTGAGTATGAATCTTTTTTGGATTTCAAATAATGTTCACAAATTTTAAAATTGTTCCAAAATTTTAAATATGTTCATGAATTTAAGAAGATGCTCACCAATTTTAGAAAACTTTTTATGATTCAAAAAAATGTCCTTGAATTTTAATAATTGCTCCAAAATTGCAAAAGAATTGTCATTTAAAAAACATTTACTAATTTCAAAGTATGTTCCCAATTGAATTCACGAATTCAAAAAAAATCAGGAATTTCAAAATTATTTCAGGCATTAAAAAAATGTGCACGATCTTCAGAAAATGTTTGTGAATTCGAAAATTGTTCACTAATTTCAAAATATGTCCCCAATTTAGTTCACAAATTCAAAAAATATTCATAAATTTTTAGTTGTTTCAGGCATTCAAAAAATGTTTATGAAATTCAAAAATGTTTGCGATTTAAAATATTGTTCACTATATTTTTGACTATAAGCTGTAGGGTAAAACCCCACTGCAATTTTAATTAAATAAAAATAGAGGCCTTACAAGAATAAAAGTCTCTAGCAAAAGGAAAAAACAAAGAAAGAAAGAAAGAAAGAAAGAAAGAAAGAAAGAAAGAGAAGCTAAGTAAAAGGCTTGAGATAAGCCAAGGAGAAGGAAGAAGGAGAACAAATAGAAAAACAAAACAAACTAGAGAAAAGACTATCTATCTATCTACAACAGGGCTTTCAACCATGAAATGAATTGAGCAGCATATTTGCTCTTGATCCTGTGGGAGAACTGCTTCAATTCCCTGAAGTAAATGTGCTTCCAGCCTTGAAAAGATGGTTGTATATTCTCAAAATTCTTGTTATTTCTAGTTATCCAGATGGCCGTGATCCTAGAATGATTATCTCCATGAAGAAAGGTATTCTCAGCTTTTCTTTTAGGTCTTTAAACGCCTCTAACACGGAAAATTTTTGGGCTCTTTCAAGGCAAATAAAGCCCTAACACCGCTTGCCAAAAAGGACACCCCCAGAATAAGTGGTGTCCCCAATTGAGTTCACTGATCCAAAAAAAGTTCATCCATTTCAAAAATGGTCTTGGCATTCGAAAAAAATGCACTAGTTTGAAGATGTTCACAAATTTTAAAAAATGTTTGTCAATTTGGAATAACTTCATGAAATTTCACAGAATGTTCACGAATTTAAAATAAAATCAGGAATTTGAAAAATGTTCATGAATTAAAAAAATGTTCACATATTTGAAAAAAATCATGATTTTAAATACTGATATCAATTTTGAAAAATCACCAATTTAAATCAGTCTTTCACAATTTTTAGCAAAGTTCACGAATTTTGTAAGAGACTCACTGATTTGAAATGGAAAAGAAAAAGAAAAATAATAAATGAAAGAAAACGGACAGTACAAATGCGGAACCGGACTAAATGGGCCGGCCATTTCCGCAGGGAGTTGTGTGGTTTCGCTATCCTTGTTGAGGCCCAGGCCTAGAACGCTACAGTCGGATTGTCAGAGAAAGTGGCGCGCTTTCGACATTGCACTTTACTGCTGCACCGGATTATTGTTGACTCATGGGACGGAGCGGTCGTCTTCATTGACCATTCATTTGGTGCTGCTTTCTGGGCACCCACAGCCCCAGCCCCAGCCCCACATGTTGTCTATACTGCGGGAGTGCGGGGTCAGTGTAAACTGTCACCATCCATCCCTCCAGTCGGTCGCATTGAATTGAATTGAACCGGCCTCCAGCAGCGATTGAATGAAGCAAAGCAACTGGGCTGGGGAACATTGACGACACCCGTCAGAACCTCCGCGTGTGCGTGGCCGTGGCGCACAGGAGGACGACACAGTAGCAGTAGGTGTAGGTGTATCTGGCCGGCCACCGGTATTCATTGCCATGGCTCGGGCATGCTCAGCAACGGATCCCGTCGGTCTGGCCGGCCTCCGTGTGTCCGTCACCGCCAGCAGCAAACGGCGGTGGCGTTCAGGATTTCCTTTGTCCTTCACATTTGTTTTGCTGAGGTGGAGCAAGGAAGGGTTCAAGTTTTTGAACTGCTAGGGCACGGTATGTGGATCCGTGTTGGGGTGGTGACAGACAGTCAGAGCGACGGATGGATCGGGCGGGATCATCGGTGTGCGCATTGCATCCGCTTGGCACCTCTGTGGGCGTGGGGCGGCGTGCGGGGCGACACGAAAGCTGGGCGCGACCACCGCTCCACTAGCCGCGGTAACGATAAACAATGCAATGCGCCCCCGTAAAAGAAGAGAACAAAAGCGTGGAGGGCAAGGGAACAACCGCGCCGGACAAAGCCTCTGCGTCGCCTTGGGCTCGGCGGCCAGCGCTGGCTGGCATGCCTCCAACTGAACCCCAGTATCCCCGCGCCTGGCGCTACTAGCCTCGGCTGGCGCGGAGAAGAGAAGAGACGCGGCGCGGCAGGCACGCACGTAGGCCAGGTCCGCGGATCACGCCGCCTTGCCTCTCCCGTCCCACCTCCTGCTAGCTCCCGCTCCCAGGTGAGGTTCGGGGGCTGTTTGATTAGCATTACCACACTTTATCACATATTTTTGTCAAATTTGCTTAAGGTTAGTTAATCAAAATGAAAGGCATAAGTTGACAAGTCTAAGAAAATCTTACCACATTTTTTGTGTGTATATCATGTGGGATCTAAATGTGGCTTGGCTAAGATGTGGCTTGAACCAAACACTCATCTAAGTTAATCAAACTTTTCTAGTTTTAGGTGTGGCAACATTTGGCAAAGTTAGTCACAAACCAAACAGCCCCTTGTTCTGGCAGTCGGGGCCAGCCCAGCAGCGAGGAGGTGGCTCGCTCGCTCGCTCCTGTTGTCGCGCCTCCTCCTCGGCCTCGGGTCGCGAGTTGGCCACCCACTCCCTCCACGCGGACGGCACTAGCGACACGTTGGAGACTAGCTAGGCGCATTTCAAATTTGAAGTTTGCACGTCGCCTCCTCAGTTAATACTCGCTGCTGCAGTCGCAGTCGCGCCGGTCTCCTCGTTCCCCGGCTCCGGCCCAGCAAATACGCGGACCCAAAGAACCAACACAAACACGCCCGCCCGCCTCCGCTCCGCACGCTTCACTTCATCCCCATTAACTACCTCGCAAGTCGTTCCAGTGATACGTGCGCCGCTTCGATCGTCCTTGGACAAGAACAACGGAGTCCCCGGCGGAGCGGGAAGCCATGCCGTTGCCGCGGAGCAAGGCTAGGAGGAAGGGCTTCCGGTCGCAGCTGGAGCAGGAGGTGCTGCGGCTGCAGGAGGTGCTGCGGGAGGAGACGGCGCTGCACGCCATCCTCGACAACGCGCTCGACCACGCCGCCGTCACCCTCGCCGACATGTCCTACCTCCCCACCCACGTAAGCGCGCCGCCGCCGCCATTCTCTGTCTGGCATCCTTGGCCACGACCTGACTAGAGCATGTATGAATGCGCTTTCCATTGCTCCAGGCCCAGGAGCTGCTCTCCAACATCTCCGCCATGGAGGCCGCCGTCTCCACGCTGGAGGAGGAGATGGTCGCCCTGCACTTCCAGCTCATCCAGGAGCGCAACGAGCGGCGCCTCGTCGAGTACCGCGCCAACGCCAAGCAGCGGCCGCTCCCCCTCTGCTCCCACCGCTCCGCCGCCAAACCCGAGCCCGAATCCGACGTACGTACGCCCGCCCGCCTCCTCCCCCTTCCCCCTCTCCTCGCCACCACATTCTCCGCCCCCGTATCTGAACCCATCCATGGCGCTCTCTCCGTACCAGGACACGGCGAGCGACACCAGCAACTCCACCAGAGGGGAGAAGCCCCACCCCAGCGCCGCGGCCCCGAAGCTGCACAGGCAGTTCTCCGTCAAGGCCCTCGGCGGCGGCGCCAACCCGAACCACCTGTCGGAGGACATCGTGCGGTGCATGCGGAACATCTTCATCTCGCTCTCCGACTCCTGCCGGGAGGCCTCCCGGACCACCCCCTCCTCCGCCGCCGGGGAGAGCCAGCGTGCCGGCCCGTCGCCCAGTGGGATCGCCGCCTTCTGGTCGCTGTCCGAGCCGTCCTCCATCTCCTCCTGGGTGCAGAGCCCCCAGGTCGACCTCAACCAGAACAACAACCTGCTGGCATCCGAGACCGTCTTCGACCCGTACAAGGCCCGGGAGAAGCTCAGCTGGGCCGACATCGGCGGCTACGGCGCCGCGTCGGAGGTCTCGTGGATGTCCGCCGGGAAGAAGCAGCTCGAGTACGCCGCAGAGTCGCTACGGAAGTTCAGGTACGGTGTCAACCAATCCATGCTATATTCAGAGTCTACTGACTATATGAGTAGTTAAGACAGTGTACCAAACAAGACAACAGCACACTTTATCTAGCCCAAGAAATTACAATTTTAGTTCCAAAGTTTGAATACCATAAAACATGGACAGAGTTCTTAGCATTTCATGATGCTTTGGGCAATCAGTACTGATGGACGCTTATTAGAGTGCAGGTTGCTGATTGAGCAGCTGGCAGAAGTAAACCCTGTTCATCTCGGCGACGATGCGAGATTGGCGTTCTGGATCAATCTGTACAACGCATTGCTGATGCATGTACGGTGAATTGACAAACTCGCTTTAGTTGTGTGATTGTGTAGCCTTTCTGGTTGAAGCTATAGGCTCCATTGATGGTTGAGGCGAGATTTGATGGTGCTTTGTGTCCTTTACAGGCTTATCTTGCTTATGGTGTTCCACGAAGTGACATGAAACTGTTTTCACTAATGCAAAAGGTTTGCTTCAAAACTTCTTGATTCTTGCTCATTAAAACCTATATCCATCTAACTATTTTTCCATTCCTCAGTACTTTGTGATGCTTTATGTCTAACATTTTTGCAATCCTATTATTCTAGGCTGCATATACAATTGGAGGGAATTCATTCAGTGCAGCATTCATCGAATATGTTATTTTGAAGATGAAGCCGCCGAATCACAGACCACAGATGGTATGTGAGCTGCAGTGCATCTTTGTGACAAATCTGCTTGTTTGTTCATGAATGCAAACTGATGACAGCTTCTTCTTTGTTTTGCTTAAGGCTCTGCTTCTTGCCCTTCAGAAGATAAAGTCACCTGAGGACCAGAGAAAGTTCTGCATTTCAACAGCGGAACCACTTCTGACATTTGCCCTCAGCTGTGGAATGTATTCTTCGCCTGCAGTAAGTTTAGATAATTCATTTGACGACTTCCGATACAAATGTAGCACCACCATTTTTCTACCTTTTTGTACTTAACTGACGAGCATTTATCACTGCAGGTGAAGATATACACAGCCAGCAACGTAAGGGAAGAGCTTCAGGACGCGCAGCGCGATTTCATCAGAGCATCGGTAGGAGTGAGCCGAAAGGGGAAGCTTCTGATCCCCAAAATGCTGCACTGTTTTGCGCGAGGATTCGTCGACGACAACAGCTTCCCTATCTGGATATCGCATTTCCTGCCTCAGCAGCAGGCTACATTCGTCGAGCACTGCGTGTCTCAGAGGCGGCAAAGCCTCCTGGGCACCCGGACTTTCGGCATCATCCCGTTCGACTCTCGGTTTCGATACCTCTTCCTGCCTGATATGGGATCATCGAACTGACTGGTAAGCTAAGATAATGTCCAACATTTAAACTGTATTCTGACTAGTACTTGTGCAACAGCATGTGTATTTCCATGTACTGAATATCTGTATGTTGTAACAGTCGATCATCAAGTCAGAGGTGCAAGGAAGCCCTATATTGTCGGCTGTCGAACTGAGCTGTTTCGGCAACAGCAAGTGCTCGACCAGGTCTAGGATCACAAGTGCACATCCAGTGATCATCCGCGGCGGCCGGCTGGATTAGAAGACCGATATCCTCCTCGGATGTCAGATAAATCTTGAGCACGTAAGCTGGATTAATTGGCTGGTTTGCCTCGACCTCTTGTCGAATTCAGCGCAAAATGTTGTATATGATAGTGGTTGATGTCTAACTAGCTAGCAAATAAAATGAAGGTGATCGTTATGAAGGTGTTGTGTATCTAGTATCTACTGACTACATGTATGTGGCAAAATGTATTGTGTGCCTGCAGCTATGATCTGCGGTACTTGTCATGTAGTGGTACAATTTATAAGCAAGAAAGGAAACCTAGATTGTTGACAGTTGAACCTAGCAGCTTCAGCAAGTGCGCAAGTCGAAAGGATTGCAAGTGCAGTGAGTTCAGCAGGTTTGTTTCAACAGTTTGCAACAGCTTGGCTAGAAACAGACAGGAATCTTCAACTTCTCGTCGAATCCATTGAAAGATGCTGTATTTGATGCAGAATAAAATTCAGGTTATCAGTTGAAGGCATTCATTCATTCATGCTGTATCTCTGTTGCTCATGGTCCTGACGATGCCAAAAATGTATTGCTCTGCTTGCTGTGTCATGTACAGCTATAAGCAAGTGGTAGAAAGTACAGAAATTCCATGACGATGCTCCCTCCCTCCCTACTATGATCTCTTCACCGCATGATCGCCGTGGTTCCTTTCGGAATTTCCGCCGCGATTCACTCTTGTGAGAAATGCAGTCCCAGTTTGGCCATGAACGTGCCTGTCATTTCTCCTGGGCAAGAGCTTCGTTCATCTCATGGCCCGTCCTCGCCATCCTTGATGAGGTTGCAGATGTCCGAGCACTCTGTCAGGCTGCACAGAATTAATCGCATACATGCAACTCATCAGTTAGTCGCCTCCGGTTGTACTAGTACGCGAGGTGCCGTTGCTGATTGATTACCAGTAGAGGCGGCTGCGGAACTGCCCCTCCTTGAAGACGACGAGGGGCCTCCGGACATTGAGGGGCCCCTCGCCGCCGCGGATGCAGGTGGCGACGCACTTGGAGGTGCACTGCAGCGCCTTGGCCGACTTGGGGTGCTTGATCCTCACCTGCGCCTTGTCGTCCCCTACAAGCTCGTTCGATCACCTCCATCATCAACTGATTATATGCCTGTGATGTGCCATCGGTGGTCTCTCGCGCCGATGAAGGGGGTACGTACCGGAGAGCGTGGGCGGGATGTTGGAGAAGTTGTCCGACGACTGCGGAGGCGGCGTCGAGAGGATGGCGGCCGCCAACGCGAACGCCACCACAGCCGGCGCCTGCCCCGCCATCCCCGCGCGGCACAACGACGACGAGGAGGACACCAGCGCCGTGGCCGGCCTCGTCTCGTTCGTGGTCTCTGCTCGCTCT